TGCCCAATGGCGTGGGGTCACTTGCTGCGCTCTCGTGTTTTGGCCCACGTCGTTTCGCACGAGCTTTGTGGGCCTCGACCTTGCGCTGCGTCTCGCACACGGCGCGACGAAAGGCACTGGTCGCCTTGGGCTGAGCGTCCGTGATCTTGTTCGCGGTACCGTAGCCATCTTTGCAAGGACGACACCACCGTCGCGTGCGAGGAGCGTGGCGCACCTCGTGGTTCAGAGCCGCGACGTGGACCTCGTGGACCGTTACCTACGTGATGTGATGCCGGTGACCACCACGCTGGGCGACATGGCCACTACCGTTCATACGTGCTTGCACGCATATGGCTGGACGACAATCTATCCCGCGCTCGAAGCCTTTTTGGAGCGCTGGCTGACGGCACGTGAAGCGAGCGGCGTGAGTCATCTCGTCACGAGTCTGGCTGGCATCTTCACCGGCGTCACCGCGCTGTGCCCACCGCTGCGACAGGCTTTTGTGGGCGAGTTTGTCAAAATGTGCTGGCAGCATTTGCTCGAGACGACGACCCCGCCCATGCAGCATTGGATCCTCGTGGACGCGTATTTGATGGACACAGCACCACAGCACGTGCGTGGCAACTGGCTCGACGTGCGGCTACCGCCCGTGCTCATCGGTATGGTCGATGGTTTTCTCTATGGACGCTCCTTTGCATCGGCGCTCGCACGCAAGCAGGTATCGGCGTCGAAGCAACTCCAGCAGCTGCCATTTGGGCTCGTTCAGGCCATTGCAAGCCACCCGACGCTGCCCCAGCAACGGTACCTTGACGTGCTGGCGACCTCGATCAACGAGCTCGTGCGCACCAGTGTCGACGTCGGGCGGGAGACACCGCAAGCTGTGTCGTCGAGTGATCTTGGCAACATTATGGATGCCTTGCACCGTCTGGGCTGCATCAATGCAGCACTGCTGACGGCGTGTCGAGTGATTAGCAGCCCCGAGCGTGTCGTTGCCGGTCTTTTGCTGTTCCTACAGCTGCCGGCACCACCCCTGCCGCCCTCGGCGCAGTTGGCCATTGCCCACTTTGCCGAGTCGGCGGCACCGACGTTCCACTATACCGACCACACGCAGCACGACGACGTCCTCTCTAGCTTCGTTGACGTGATCGAGGTGCTCACGCTCACTGCGCCTCGCGACGTGCTGCCGTTTGTGACTGCCTGGTGTGCAGCGCTGCCAGAAACTCTGGACGCGACCCGCTCGAGCCTCTACCCCGTCGTCGAGATGCTCTACAGCCGGTTGAAGGGCAAGGACCTCGACCTTGTCGTGCACCTGGCGGGGCCGTGCTTGGCAGCGTTGCTGCAAGGCGGTGCGCTCACCCCGGTGCCCGCATTGAACGACTTTGTCTTGACGGCCATTGAGGTTGACGCGGACCACTGCGACGAGTGCGCTGCGTTTGGTGTATTTTTGCTCGATGGCCACTGCATGGAATTTCGGTGCGAGTACGACGACGGTCCCTGCAAAGCACTCGAAGAGCTCGTGAAGGCCTACCCGCTCGAGCTTTTGCTGGACCAAGTGGACGGAAGCGACGACTCGGCGAGCGACTCTGACGACGAGCGCTCGGCCAACTTTTTTATTTGGAAGCGAGCGCAACCCGGTGGTGCAACGATTGACGACCTTATCGAGTATCTTCACCGCAGTGCTCAGCGGCAAGGAGACATTGCGCGCGTTGCAGTGCTCGACGAGGTACTCGCACTCCATGCGGCCGCCATGGACGTCGACGCACCTGCGCCAAAGCGCCCACGTCATGAAACGTAGTCGACGCTAAGCATCTTTCTCTGTATACACACGCGTAATTTTTCTTATGATGGTTGAATTGAGGGGTTGTCAAGCCTGTGGCGACCGAGCTCGCAACTATTGCAACTCCAGAGCTGGATACGCCCAGCATTTGCGCGACGCGAGCGAGAGCAGCTCCCGCGGCGCACTAGGTCAGAACGCGACGTGAATACTCCTCGATGGCGCTGTACGCATTCGTTGCATCTTCACGCCCCCTCCTCCTACCGCGATGGGAACCGTATGGGTTAGACAAGTCGACGGGCGCACCACGTGGCGCAGGGCGAGAAAGGTATCGTATCTATAACGGTCCGTCGTACAGGAGCTGCAATATGGGTGCTAAATTGACACTCTACCGGCATCACTAGTACATTGTAGGTGCGGTGGAAACTCAGTAGTAGGCGCGGTGGAAACTCAAGTAGCCTTACTACTACTTACGTATTGTTCGTGATGACGCTCTGACGACCGCGTTATGTTGCGTGCCCAGCTGAAATGTACTGCCGCCACAAGCGCATCCCGTCACCGATCCGATCGACGCTGTCATGATATCTCGAGAAAACAACCACTGTAGCGTCGCTCTATACAGTTCTGCAACCCTCTTTCCGTTTGGAGTACATGCATCAAGAACATTTACCATCTTCTCGGCATGAAAACGAGCGTGGATCGCGATGTATCGTGGATGCGTTCGACACGTTCTGAGTTTCTGATCTATCATCTCGGTGCTCGGACGTTGTGCGGCACCGATCGAGTAGCTGTTGGTATTTTGTTTCTTGGGGACCCACCCCACTGGTTTGTCCGTCCGCCATTGGGGCATACTTCCATAAAGGACAGGCCTTGCCGAACGCTCGCGACGCCGTGTACAGCGCCTAGCGAGGGGGATGGGCCCATCTTCGTATGTCACAAAAGCTAGGTCGATGGAATCAATTGACGTGTAACTGGTTTCGTAACCGTACTACCTGACGTCACCAAGAGTCCATACGTGCACACTCGTCCGACATCAAACACACTCACGTGATAAGTGATGGCGACCTAGCGTTGGCGTGCTTATGGTACAGCTCAATTTTGTCACCACTGATGGCGCATTGCGACTGATTGCCGACCGGGCACAGGGGGGACATCTGGCAACGGAACGTCACTTCGTGGTACGCTCGGTCCATGATCTTCTTGACTAAGCGGCCATGTGCTCTGTCCCGCACCACATCTGCTCGTGATAACTCGCATGTGAAACTCCTCCAAGAGCTCGTATCTTGGAACTACTCACTGGGCTCGGAGTCATCACACACCAGATTAGACGAGTGTGTGACCATGGAGCAATCGGTGGCGACGGAGTAATCACACTGCAATATGGTATCGAGGTTGGGACTCTCCACGGGGTTACCACGCGTCACCGGATATGTGCTTACTGTTAACTACGGAAGTTAGATCAGATGCGCATCCTTACTATCCCTTCTTGCTGCGTTTTTGCCTTCTTGGGCAGTCCATCACAATGTCGGTCAACGCAAAAATGTCTTGTGGGTCACGAGGAATCGCACGTCGACGCGCGCTGTCCACCGACAGGAGAAGAATTCCGTCCGACACACAAACCGCGACTCGACTCGGATTAGTATCGTCTCGCTGTAATCTGCTTGTGATAGGACACGGCAAGGCTGTGATGGACACCCTGTCAAGCTCGTGGGACATACGTGCATATGATGACCGTGCATGATGCGCTCATACCAGGCGTATTACTCAAGGCGTACCAGCCACAAGAGCGTCACGTCACTCACTTTGCAACCAGCCATGGCGACCACAAGCACACCGCTCTACACGGACCTCGAGGCCATCTTGAGCCGCTTCCGCCGCAAGCGCAGCAAGCAAATCGCATTCTTACGGCGGTACCTCGACGTGCTCCAGAAGCGCGTCACCCACCTTCAATGGTGTCACTCGACACTACTGAGCTGGGAAGACGTCTCGAAAGCCCTCGCGGAAGACACGCTGGACAGAGTCCGGGAGAACCGAGCACTGATGCGCGAGGTCGCGACGTCCGAGAGCCTGCGCACCCTCCTCGCGGCGTGGGTGAGTGCCCACGCATCGCCTCGCGTACGTTAAAACTCACTTTGTCGTCTTGCAAACATCTCACGTCAAAGTGCGTAGACGCGGACACCGGGGCACGACCCGTGGACCACTGCACGGCTCTTCAACGGTGCCCCGGACGCGCGCAAGGTCGGGCTCGAATGGATCTTGCAGCAGAGCTACCACAGCACATCCAGTGCGCTGGCCCACGTGTCGGCAGCGCTTCACGGAGACGATGACGCGGTCCGCGTCACCATGACGTTTGATGGCGCCGAGATGAGTCTCACGGTCACTGCGCAGTGGGTCGAGCCGTACCCGATTTCGCATGTCGCCGACGCCGCGTGGCGTGCGAGTCGGTCGTTTTTAGCGACGTGCTGTTCACAGCAATCCGACTGCTCGAGCTTGCGCGCCGCTGTGAGCAGCTACGTCGAGTACTTTCACGAAGACGTTGGCCCCCCAAGCCCAAAAGATCGTTTCTAATGCACTCTACGGCCGATACGACGCGCCCGACCGGACCGTGCTCATCATGCGCTCGGTTCTCTCGGACGAGGCCCACCCTGTGCCCCCGGATACGTGGTGCGCCGACTCGCGTCAATGGTT